ACACACACACACACACACACACACACACACACACACACACACACACACACACACACCTGTCTCTTTCATAGCTATCAATCCCAATGGAATAAGGGTTCCCATCAATTTCTGGCCTTAGGGATCCCTCCCACCACAGTAGTCAACAGAGTGGGAAGGAGTTATACTCACATTCTTTGATGAACAAATAAGTAAGTGTCAGCACAACGGTGTGACCGCTGAAGAGGAAGTCTCCACACAAGATATGGGATCCAGTTATGGACAATCCACCACCGGAAATCAATCGCAGAATCCGTTGTATTTTTGCCTGAGAGTCTCCGTTGAGCTGAAAGACACAAGATCAGGAAGAAAATTTACAAGCCGATAAAATCACACTTCAGCCTAATTTGTGTGATACTTAGAAAGCTTACCAGGTTGTGCTTTTTCCCTTTTAACTTAATAAGCCAAAAAGAAGCCAAGGGGGGGAAGCTCCTCCAATTAGGTTTTATTCGTTGTACCGGCGAGTTTTAGTGACACATTTTAAATTATTCAGTATGTTACTAATAATATGTTTTGGTGGTGGTGTGTCCTTGGGCAAAGCTTTTAAAAAATATTAATAACCAATGACTTCACCACAGCTATGCACTAAAAAGATCAAAGCTACTTTCTTTCCTCTTTGTAGGGGGAAGTCAGGGTTTTGGATGGTTAATATTTGATTCAGCTGAATACCACATTACTAATATTCTAAAGTGTATTCGGGGACTTTTGTGTTAAGTGGGCAGCCTAAAGTGTGCAAAGAGCTGTGTTAATATCTGATCAAGACATTTACAGTTAAGAAGGGAGCTGCAACACATTACATAATTTAAATAGGTTTGCAAATGATAGATTAGAGATGTATTGACAGCTTTTAAAAATGAGTAGCTCTGATCAGGAAAAACATCCTCCAAGGAAATAATCTGTGTGCTGTTGCAGAGGGTAAGAGTGCTCCCTTGGACAGTGGTGTAGAAGTCCCTAGAAGCCACCATGATGACATAGGAAACAATGATGGGCTCGGACAGGAGTTTGACCCAATAGTCAAAAGTTTATAACCCATTAAAACTGAAGCAAATAGGCAGGAGTAGTAGACTGAGTGGGTCAAAATGGTAGGCATGGAAAATTGGAATACTGAAATGCTCAAGAGCCAGATGATAAAGAGTTTCAGAACAATCTAGTATCAGGTGAACAGGCTTAGAAAAATCAAGGAATGATCCTCAGAAATATATTCAAGTAATAGTACACATGAGAAGAGAAATACAGAAGGACCACTAATGACTAGGCATCTGGGACCTAGGGGGCCAGGTCTAGGACATGCTGCCTTTTGTAACTCAATGATGATCCTTTCGGGCAACTAGGCCCTGAAGCATGGCCAGTCCAGCCTTGATGATGGCTAAACAGGTGATGAAGACAGGCCGTGTCCTGCCCAAGTGGATGCCGGGGGTAAAGGAGGGTAGGATGCATACAGGTAGACGGGAGGATGGTCTGGGAGTAGAGAAATTCAGTTAGCCCCTAAAGCAAGTGGAAAACCATCCTATCCAGTACAACAGGAATCCGGGCAGGATTCCTTGCCTAAAACATCACTATTGGGACCTTAGAACCTTCCTGATTAAAAAAAGAATTCATAAGGATCTAGAAAGTTCTCTGTTATTCAGATGACCCATGTAAAAAGGCAAACACACCATGATTGGTTGATAGTTGAGAATAAGGCTCTGCAAGAGAAAATGCCATAAACTGGGATTAGAGGGCAAGGTGAGAAGTAACTTTCTTCAAAAGTTTGCTTAGGGCAAGCCAGGTGGCAAAACCAGAACACAAATATTTTATCAAGACTTGATAGTCCTTGGGGCACCTGGGTGGCTCAAACGGTTAAGCGTTTGCCTTCGGCTCAGGTTGTGATCTCAGGGTGCTGGGATCGAGCCCCATATCTGGCTCCCTGATCAGTGAGGTGTCTGCTTCTCCCTCTCCCTCTGCTGCTCCCATCTGCTCTGGCTCTCTCTCTCTCTCAAATGAATACATAAAACCTTAAAAAAAAAAAAAAAAAAAGACTTGATAGTCCTTAAACCAACATGCCAAGTAACAGGTGATCCTGCCTTGAAAAGAGAGGATCTAGAGGGCAGCAAAGGATCCACACTGGGGAAGGTTAAGTACTGCTAACAAAGTTGCAGGACTCATTTCAGGGGCACCTCAGGAAAGGTGTGTTGCAAACTACATGAAATGATGTGATACACCCTTGATGTGGAAGATAAAACTCTAGCTGTGTTCTTTATCAGATCAATCACAGTCTTTCAGGAACTTCTTATCACGTGGTTGGCACAAACAACTGTTAACACTGAGATCAAATTAAAAAGTACATATGCTGCCCAACCACTGTGTTTACAGTTTAAAAAGGACATGTTATTCATTTCAAAACCCTAACATATTTTTTTAATCTGTCCGCCTATCCCAACTCAGTACTCTAATTTCCTAAGGGCAGAAACCCTTAAAGTCATCAGTCCCTTGACCCAGGATTAGATGGACCCAAAGGTCTAAGCAGACCAGGAGCCGAACTATTGCCACACATTGTCTTCTCCCCTCTTCCTTTCAGCAGCGAGGGTGAATGGAGATTTCTGATAGCCCTGGATTCATTATGCCTTTACAGAACAGAGAAAGCACGCTCTCTTCTTGCTCTGTCTTTCCACAGTTCTTAATTCCTTGATCCTGTCATTGCTATCCTAGATGTCAATTCATGCTCAGTATAAATGCTAAAGAGCACCTCAAGAAAGGGGGGGAAAAAAGAGAGTAGAAAGAAAACTGGGGAGGGGAGGGGAGGCTAAGTGAGAATTGGGATTAATGGGGTTTTTTTCCTAATTCTGTTTTGGTTCACTGGGACCCTCCATCACTCACCACTTAAGACTCTAGTTCCTATTAATTTCCTCATCTTTTCAGACACCATTCCACACCATGACTCGGTATGGAACAGAAGACGTGGATGACTAAGAGGAGAGGCATCGATCACAAGCGCCAGACCAGACGGGTGCTCCGTGTTCTAAGGGTTCCTGGAGCTGTTACCACCACATGCCACGTCCCACACCAGGAAAGTACAAGACAGCCCAACACGGCTGACGACAAAACAAAAAACTCACCCTGCACACGGTCCCTTCAGCTCAGAAGAAGGGTCCTTTGGGCACTCATGGCCAGGAAAGCTTTCTCAGGTAAGGGACTAGAGCTATCCCCGCCCAACATTCTTGCACATGGCCAAATGGGTTTGAAAAGCTAAATCATTTCATCCAAGTCCTAATAACCGGGCCAAAATGGATTTAAACACAAGATTCAGTAGATGGGAGGATGGTCGGGGAGTAGAGAAATTCTACTGGCCGTATTAGATTTGGGGAATCCTGTAGATCATGCCCATATCTCACCTTTAGCTATTTCAGATCAGTGAGTTTAGGCGGAAAAGCCAAACCAAGGACTTGGTGCAAAATCCCAACATCTTCGTGGGATTTGACCTCTGCCCTGGGACCAGGGGCACTGGGCTCACGCATAAGCAGAGCACTGAGTGCTGAATTGGGATCCTGTAAGTTCCATGAACCATTCCTCTTTGGTTTGGCTTGTTGATATGATTAAAATAATTTTTTATTCCTTTTTAAAAAAAAAAAAAAAGACTGCAAGATTTTGTGACTGCAAACCAAAACTCAGGTGGGTGGGCTGAGGCAAACTGTAAGCAAGAGACTCAAAGTGAGCTCCAGGAATAGACAAGAGAGAAGGCAGCTGGGAAACCAAAGGCCAAGGGTTTCCCCAATCTTGTGAAATCACGTGTGGGGACTGTATCCACTGAGGAACAAGTTGTGTTAGGCAGCAAGGGCTGTGTTTGACACCCTCCCACTGCGAGTGGCTTCAGGATACACGGTCCTGTCATTGTTCACAGCCTCAGAGGATATTCCACCGAGTCAACAACAGAGGAGGCCGGTAGATTACCTAACAGCCTCATAAGCACAATCTAAGGAGCACTCAAAGTCCGTGGCTGGACCCCACTGACAACTCAATTCTGACTCCTGTGCTAGAACACCGCACCACCTCCAGAGTGATCTGTGTGTTTATCTTACTGAACCCTTATTCAGGCACCCAGAGCCAGCCTGCTTATGCGGCAGGAATAGGTCTTGACAGCTGAACATGGGGGTGGATTAGTTAGGAGGACCGCCAGAGCCTCCATTGTGAGTATTTGTAGCTTGGTTAGCCAGTGGTACGTTTACCGATGTGGCTTCTGAAAATTGCAACTCTTCCAGGGAGGAGGATCTTTAATTTACTGTCTTTCTGTAATCATAGCAATTCATCTCTGCAAACCTCATCCATTACTGGGATGGGCTTGCTTTCTTTTCTGTGCCCACTTCTTCATTTAACACAGAGCAATAACCCCTTTAGAAGCGCTTATTACTTTTCTGAACTTCTCCCATGCCTTAAATTAGTTTCACTAAAAATCGGCCAATGTTTAAATTCAATATGTACACTGTTTTAATTACAAATACTTTCTGCTTTGATGGCTTTGGAAAATTAAGGCTTCTCCAAACCACACCTATATTTGGTGAGGGAGACTGTTGACTTCCTCAGAACAACTCTATTTTTCCTTCCACCTGGGACATCTGCTTAGTGTTCAGTAAAATATGATGTTAGACTTCATTCCCTTGTCCAGAAAGCACATGATTTGTAAGTTTCCTTTTTTTTTTTTTTAATAAACCAGGGCATACTGGGGTCTAAGATGATTAACAGCTCTCTCAAGAAATGACTCTACCTGGAGAGACTATAAATCCTGCTTAAGACAGTTTCCGAGTTCACTCCCACAATGTATCCCAGCAAAAGGCCACACTGGCTTTCCATTTGCTAAAAACTCTGGGGTCATCCTTGGCTTCTTTCTCTTACGAGCACATCCTGTTGGCCTTACCTTCAGAATGCAGCCTGAATCAAATGACTTCTCCTCACTTCAGTGGGCCACAAAGGGCCCAGGGGACCCACGGCCTGTGCCATCTCTACTCAGCCACATGGGCCTCCTGCCACCCCTTGAACCCACTGTGACTAAGCTACTTCCGTGGCCTATGCACACGGCTCACTTCCTCATGTTGTATCTTGCCCCAATGCTTTCTTACTACAGAAGCCTCTCTGCTCTCTAAGTCGTACCTACCCTCAGTGTCCCCATTACCCTTACTCAGCTTTTCTGTTCTTCATCTGATAGTGACCTGACTTATCATCATGTTACAAGTAATGCATTTAGTTTTTGGCTGTCATCCCTCAATAGAACATAAACTCTTGAAGAAGAACTTTGCTTTGGTCATTGCTGTTGCTACAGTGCCTGGCCTGGTACATAACAGCAGCTTTAACACTTGTAGGATGAATGAATGCATGAACGAGTACAAGAGAAGGCAAAAAAGAAGAGTTGAACACCCCGCTGTAACTTTTGGTTAGCAGAAAATGAATTTCTGATGCACAAAGATACATGTTTTATGAAAACATATCGGAACGTCTTCCCTCCAAATCCAAAGAGAAACAAAAAATATACCAGACTGCACTTAACAGCTCTAAGAGTGTCTGAAGAACCTGCCATACAGCGAGCAGGTGTTCCCGAAGTGTTTTCGTCTCCTCTACATGCTAGCTCAGAGGCGCTCACCTTCGGGGCGCACTGGAAATGCATCCCAGGCACAGGCAGAGTGGTGACGTACATTGTAATACAGCGGTACAGGTATAAAGTTCCAATGATAAAAAAGAATCTGCGTCCCACTATTGACCTAAAGGAAAAACGGGGACAGGGAGAAACAAGTTGACTCGTTGTTTCTGCTCCTAATGCAATACAGAACGACGTTTAACAGAATAAAGAATGATTAACACAGAGTGGCATTAACAGACCAGTTTCACGGCTCACACACAGGCTTACATGGAACGGCCCACCCCTACACTCCAGAAATGAAGGTTCACCTTTTGTAATAAATCTAGGAGGGTTAGGACCCAAAAGGAATGTCTGTGGGGAGTGGAGAAGCTATAGCAGACTAAGGGCTCTAGACAACAACCTCTCCTAAAAAAAAGGCACTCTTTGCCAGAGAATTCAATGAACTGCTCTACGTTTCTCGTCAACACACTACATTAATAAAACCTTCTCTTGAGAACATATCAAAGGTATAAATGAGTCACAGAGGAATTAACTAATGAGCTAAGGTGATACTACATAATTGGGCACAGAGGGAAATGGGGCAACTGATTTAACCTCAGTTATATAAGCAAGGTTTATTTGGAGACCATCCAAAAGTATTTTCACAACTTGGGCACGAACTATTTTATCTATGACTATACAGATTTTCAGAGAACTAGATTTTGAAAATGTCCCAAGTACCCTTGTACCTTTATGGACACTTAAGGGTGAAACTCTAAACTGATTAGTTTACCCTTATTTTATTCAACCTCAATAAAAAAAAAAAAAGGCAAAAAAAAAATCCCACAAGTACTTTCATACTTAATATTTTGTGGTGGAGACCTGTCCTGTACCCCTGAGTCCTCATTCCAGTGCAGTGGTTCCCAGAGGTTTGACTTTGTGCACACTGTCCTCCAGCGGGAAAGGCTCTGCCTGTTTGCGCTGCTGCCTCATGGGTTATCTGAATGGGCTTCGAGGGTTCTGAGCGTCCTGATGTCCAGCGAAAATGACTTGTTTTCTGCTGTGTAATTAGGGGTGGGTCTATAAACTCTGGGTTCTGGGGAGTCACAGAAGGGTGGGGCCCATAAAGCCCCTGGAATTGCTACTTGTAACCTCCCTCACACATAAACTATATTCCTACAGGTCTCTCATTTGCAGAGCTCTCAAACTTTCAAAACTAATACCGATCAAAGACTTCTGGAAAACTAGGCAGTTTCAGGCATGTGGCATATTTTTAGTTTTCTCCAAGACTGTGGTCTGACGTGGATCAAAGTCTAATTCAGGTAACTGCTGGGACTTCTAATTTACAGAATTATGTACGAATATAATTTTAGTTGCCCATTTCCAGTAACTATTTTAAGAATATCCCAGAGTTTCTGGGGTCAAAATAGAGAGTAGAAAACTACCTAGACTATTAAATGAGGGGTGCCTGGGTGGCTCAGTCAGTTAAGTGCCTTCAGCTCAGGTCACGATCTCGGGGTCCTGAGACAGAGCCCCATGTTGATCTCCCTGCTCAGTAGGGGGTCTGCTTCTCCCTCTCCCCCTGCTGCTTCCCCCTGCTCTTGTGTGCACTCACTCTCTCTCAAATAAATAAAATCTTTAAAAAAGACAATTAGATGAAAGTATTTATTTAGTGCAAGGCCATTTCTTTCAAAGGCCTGCTATATTAACTCTGCCTTTTCTAGTACTGAAAAGGAAAGGGTGATCATCAGTGCTGAGTCTCTCCATTTGGTTAAGTGAAAAACAATTCACCCTTTGCTTCAACCTCAAACCCAAAGACTGTTGAACTGGGTGCTCAATGCTGTTAGACAAGGTGAAGTAATAAGCAAAAATTATTATGAGTCAATTATATTCATTCCAGCATTCTGAGTTCAGCTGTACTCAGAACTGAAAATTAACTTAGAAGGTAAAATGTACACTCTGCAACCTTATTTAGAAAAATAACTACTGCTAATGATTTTTTTTCCCACAGCTTTGAAGGTGCTTTTACAAGAGAAAGCAAGTAGGATTTCTCATTCAGCTAGGATGTTCAAAACAGGTTGTAAAAATTATTCTACTAGTTACTAAAATGATACAATTCTAACCTCAAAAGTAAAAAAAAAAAAAAAAGTATGATTTCCCCAACAAGTTTCTGATGAGTTGTGATCAAAACAGTAGGTTATCATTAAAATGTGTGGCCAGCTATGTGACCACAAGTTTATTTGTTTGTTTGGGGGGGGAGGGGGAGAGGGAGAGAGAGAATGCCCGGCGCAGAGCCCGACTCGGGCTCGATCTCATGACCCTGGAATCGTGACCTGAGCTGAAATCAAGAGCTGGCCGCTTAACTGACTAAGCCACCCGGCACCCCCAGGAGTTTTGACATGGTAAAGCCTAAGGTACTCACGGAGTGGCAGTTCATAACAACTCTCTAGATAAAGATTCAAATAAATTGAGACTGTGCTTAAGCAGCACGGTAGAAGCCAGCTACTTACCAGACCCTGGAAAATGTCTCTTTTCATGTATATATGAATAAAATGTTGGTCTAAATTAAGGGAGAAAGCAAACACCTTTGGCCTAAGCAGGCTCTTTTATTTTCAGTGTCAATTGTAGACATCCAAAAGAGAAATGCTAAAGTTCAACAAACCTATTGCTTGCTTTCAGCATAAAGCATACCATAACTTAACAGCTTTGGCAGCAAATAGTTCTGGTAAAAGACCCTTGATAGCTGCCTTTTACTTACACATACCAAGGAAAATGTTTAGGAATGACTTCAGTTTGTAGAACAAGCTTTCAAAACTGCAAACTTGAATTTGGGGAAACTCTTGAGCAAAGAGATTGAATTCTCTTCTCAAAGCAACAAGAAAATGAAGGAACACTATAGTGTAAATTCTCTCTCCTAAACATGATCTTGTGGCATTAATGCAGAAATCCCATTTGTGAATTTTTGAACAGTATCGACTAAGTTAGTACACATTACATTTTCAAAAGCCTCCGTTTATGGGCAAGGTTTTGATCCAACTTCTATTTTAGTGATTTAATTGCTAGAATCTTAGTAGAGAACAAAACATCTGAAGGAGACATAAGATGAAAAGGGAATTGCCGGGGCCCTGTTTTTATGGACTAGCAGTCAGATTTCACAGGGAAGCAAAAATAACCTCTTCAGAGCTATGTCCTATATTTAAGTGTCTTTAAGGCAAAAGTACGTGGCTTTACTACTCCCAGAACAGGGAGACTGAATGAACTAAGAGCTCCCTTGTGGTGCCACAGGGAAACTGGACAGCACGGTTACTTGAGAAACCTAAAACCCAAACTGCATGGACCCACGCCTAAATGCCGCTTCTGAAACTCCTGTGACTCGACTGCCAATAGGCAACAGAAAAAGAAATGTAAAATTTGCGAACTCCTGAATAGAAGCAAACCTGAAAGAATGCTATTGACTCTAGACCAATACAGTCATCACTCTATGAGCAATAGAAGAAAGTTCCCTGGCGACGCCATTCCCCACCTGTTAAAAGCCTAAAATAACAAAAGCAGGATGAAGTTAATGTTATTCCTTTCTAAGCCTCTTGATTTTTCATGCAGATACCATAGCACCAAGTTGCTTGAGATCAGGAACTACACCTTAAATTCATCAACTCTGAATCACCAACCACAGTACATCTGTTAGGTCCTCATGGTTACCTCTCATACACAGTTGCTCAATAAATGTTTATTTATTCAACACAGTCGATCCTTCTGTTGCTTCCTGTCATCAAATGCCTGGATCTGACTGAATTCATCAGACAAAACCGAGGAAGACCATTTCAATTACACATCTACCCCCTTAAACACAAACTTAGGGCAAGCCCACCCCCCCATTCCCCATGAACAGACCTACTTACTTGTATCTTAGAAACAGCCACTGGGTGATCCATAATCCAACCAATATAATCCCATTTATTTCTGATACAGAAAATGCCCATTTTACCCGATCAATGTAATCAAAAAACTTGTCTGGTAGTGGGGGGCTGAGCTCCTTGGGAGGCACCCTTTCGTGTACAACTGTGATCATGACGGTGGTTAGGACGAGGTTGAAAAGCGCGTACACGAAGGCAATGCCTGTTTTCCACCACTCCAGGGGAAATTTGTTCCTGGATTCAGTGGGCATAGCAATCTGGATATAGTCCGGGTACTTTTTGGTGCCCTTCCGCAACCCATTGGATAAGCTCTTCGGTTTACTGTTGCCATTTTTGTTTTCTTCTTCGACAGGCTCGGCAGGTCTTGTGTAAGTACTTGCAGGATCATTGGTTTGATTTTCCATATGTTCTTCAAGTTTTGCTGTCTCTATAATATCCATTGTCCCCCAGTCTTCAGATCAAAAGGGAGATGGCAAAGTACGTGTTTTTTGGGCAAACTTCACTTTTTTAAATCCTTCTACTTCCAAGATCAACATGGATTCCTATAACTGATTTTGTTTCCTAGCACAAAACGTAGAAGGTAGCCATCTGATTACTGTTCCCCCCATGCAGCCGCCTGCAGTACACTCGCCACTTTCAAGAGAGGGAGCCAATTTTCTTTCTCCCAGAGGTGTTACTATCCCACCTGCAAAAAGGAAACAAAAACTGTTCACACACTGTGCTTGTCCAATTGTCAACCATCCAAAACAAAAACATTATCAAAATAAGGAAGCAAATACCAAAGCCATTTGCTTTAGAAATATATTGTCAGAACATGGTTAATGCTGTTGAGATGGAGTTTATTTGCAAAATATGGACTTGTTTTATCCTGGGACTCTTGTCTCTTTTTGAGCCGATGTTAGTATAAATAGGTCCATTTTAATAATCAATTCCTTTAAAATTTCTTTAAATAAAAGTCAGGACCCAACTTTGCAAAGCCTTCGTCAGACACTATTACTTGTTGCTAACCATGAAGTCATAATAACTTAGAACCTCTCCAGAGCTCACATCACTCTTTCCTAAGGCTGCAGCTTTTCTATGAACCTGCAAGAATACAAAACTGGGATGAGCTGCTCACATGCACGGAGTAACTGTTACTCTCTCCATTTGTCGATGAGTCCATTTTTTATTTCCTCCTTAAGAAACTGGAGTCTTTTTAAGGGACCACTTTCCAGAACAGATTCAAGAACCACACGTTCAAGATACTTAAAATCGGCACTGTCTCAGTTTATCCTTCGATATGTAGAGATGCACACCCTACACCAGGAAAGCTGACAGCCTTCAAAATAATATGGTGAAAAGACACACAAAGCCTTAGCTACGTCGCGTTGAGGGAACGCATTCTACTTGTTACTCGAAAGGTAAAAATCCTGCAATTGGCATAGTAAATTAGTAAGGAACGACACTTTGAGACAAGCACTGCAAGATCTACCAGGCAATAGAAACTGACACCCAGAGGGCCAGCTCCCGGCACTCACCACCACGACACGGATGAGGAAAGGGTGCCTTTGGCTTAAGCTCCACAAGCTCTGGAGAGCAAAGACTTCTTCACAACAGAGAGCACCAAGCACCAACTCTTTTATACTGGTTAGCAACACGGCCCCAGCTGTTCTCAATTTAGGAAAGCAGTATTTTAGTCGTGCTGCAGAACCCAACCACCTGAAGGAGTTTTCAAACCTCATAATTAGTCCCCGCCCTGAGTACACTGCACAACTTAAAGCATAATTCTTCACATTTTAAAGGCCTCCCTTTTAGGGGAACTTCAAGAAAAAATGGGGGGGGGAATTCAAAGCTCTTATTTAATGAAAGAAAAAGGGGGAAAGGAAGCCTTTATTTAACGAAAGAAAAGGGGGAAAAGTTAAAATGGCACAGTCAATAAGTACAGGCAATATTTGTTGAGAGTATGGATAGCAAATAGAGCGACCACAAGTGTTTCTTGTGCACCTGAACACCCCAGCGCGGAGGGAGCAATGGGGAGGCAATTAAAAGGAATTTAAAAAACACGGCTGACCTGAGCATTCATCCAAGGAGCTTGCAGTCTAACTGAAGAGACAGAACTCAAGTGACAAAAATCTACTGGGGAATGATCACTAGATAAAATGTAGTTTTAGGGGCGCCCGGGGCGGGTGCAGTCGGTTAAGCATCTGACTCTTGATTTCGCTTCAGGTTGTGATCTCAGGATCCTGAGATTGAGCCCCGAGTCAGGTTCCACACTCAGTGTGGAGTCTGCTTACGATTCTGTCTCCCTCCCTCTGCCCCTCCTGCTCATCTTTTCCCTCTCTCTCTCAAATAAATCTTTTAGTGAAACAAAACAAAACAAGACAAGTGTACTTTTAGTTGTACCCCTGCTCGCCTGACAAGATGTGTCTACAGAGAGGTACTGTCCTTTTCTGGGGAAGAGAAAGCATGAGGAAAGTTGGCCTGGAGAGAAATGGAGGGTCACTGGAGGATGGAGATGGGCTAAGAGGTATCACTGAGAAACAGACATCGCACCTTTCTCTGGTCCCTGTGAAAAGCCACAGACACGAATACACTACAGCAGGATGAGAAAGGACCAGTGCCCCTCTTGGGAAACCAGGATGGACAGATATTCTTTGTAGGACCCTCGCACAATGTTGTAGGAAGAGTAAGTATAGAGAAGAGGTGCGTCAGTAAGATATTTGCAAAAACAAACCTTTGACACCATGGATTACCACTTCTAACAGAGATGCCAAAACACTAACTCGGCCATTGCCTCTCTTCACCAAGTCTAGGCTAATCCACGCATAGCATCTTACCAAACGCATCAAAATTCCCTCCAACTTTACTACTCCACATCTGCTCCTAGCCTGGTGTTCGTATGTGAAAGAAACTTGAGATTTTTGAGGCCCAGGTCCACTGGGGGACATACTGACAGTTTTTATAAGGTAGCTATCCAGTTCTAGAACATAGAACATAGAACAGAAGAAAATCCAATTAGTTACCCGTTTGGCTGTTGTTTGTTTGTTTTCCCCAAGAGGAAGCACTCAGCTACCCACCTCATGGGACAACTGTGAGGATGACTGAAATAATGAATCATGAAGAGCTTTGTGCTCGTGGGAGTAAGAGCACTTTATGAGTGCCCATTTATCGTCATTAGTAGCAAGATTGATATTTTCCTTGGGATTTCATTAAGAAGACTGAATATACAAAGCACACTATCCTGTGTCAACCAATCTTGGGACACAATGCTTATCATCAAGATGACGATTACAGCATATTCATTCCTATGGTGATCCTTTCCTACCAGTAAGTATCTGGGAAAGTGACAAAAGCCACAATAGTTTCTCTCGATGGATGGCAATCCCATTAGTTCATTTGTTTAGGGTACTAATGCCAGAGCACAAGGCAGATGAAAAGCTTTCCAAGTCCTCTTACACTGCAAAATATCAGAAGCTAACCTAGAGAATATTTTAAAAGTTAAAGACCTCTATAGTCTAATCTTCCTTTGAAGGCAAGTGCAAAAACTCTGAAACTGTTAGTACACTGATACTGTTAGGTTTTTGGGGGGGGCCAAAGGATGATGTATTCCAGAAATGCAAGGAAGTTTTCCAGTTAGCAAAGGGCTGTAATAAAACACAAACATATGTAAATAGAAAAGATGATTATCTTGAGTGAGGTCAAAAAGGAATTTGATACAGATCAATATCCACTTGGTTTTGGGGGGAGAAAGTATTCAATAAAGGGAACAGAAGTACCTAAATAGAGCCACATTCTTCAATAGCAGTTGCATGTCATATGTGTGCCAATATCTAGTGGAAAAAATCTTCCACTGTTACTCCACTTTCTTTCCATCCCTAAATGAACTTTAGAAACTTTTTTGTCAAATTACAAGAAAACACACTATTAGCTTCTGTTTTATTTCTATCACCTCTATTTCGTAAAGGGTTTGATATTACCATGTTCATACATACATTAGTCATTTCCCCTTAATAATCTCAACAGGATTTTACCTGTAATTTGACAAAATGATTCCAAGGTTCACACTGGTAGGTATTAGGCTATATTACATTAAGTAATAATGGGGTAATAGCACCCAGTTATTCTGAGTTCAAAGGAAATATGAATGTACACAAAATATTTCTACAAGTATGTTAACAGTCATTTATAAGAGAAAAGTGAAAATGATCTAATATCCAACAACAGGGAATTAGTTAAATGAATCATGGATATCGTAACATAAAATACTGTGTTTTGATATAGTAACTATAAAAGTATGAGACAAGTATATAAATACTACATAAGAAGGATGCATTATCCAATTAAATACAAACTTAGATCTGAATAGGAGATGAGGAATCTCAATAATTGACATCAGAGGTTATAGTTTTTAAAAAATGGGAAAGGGGGGTGCCTGGGTGGCTCAGTTGGTTAAACGACTGCCTTCGGCTCAGGTCATGATCCTGGAGTCTCAGGATCGAGTTCCGCATTGGGCTCCCTGCTCAGCAGGGAGTCTGCTTCTCCCTCTGACCCTCCCCCTCTCATGTACTCTCTCTCTCATTCTCACTCTCTCAAAATAAATAATAAATAAATCTTTAAAAAATAAAAATAATAAAAAATGGGAAAGGGGCCACATGACAGATAGTCAAGGCTATCAGAAAAGGTACAAGTGTGAAACTCATCATGCACGCATCTCCTGGGCAGTCCTGACCCAAAGCTCACTGACGGCATCCTGGATGGAGACTGAGTGTAGACACGAGCTCCCGTCGCAGGGCTCAGAAATGCTCTGCTTGTTGAATGCCAGCCTCGTCGTGCACTGGTGTGGTTCAGAAGACATATTAAATATGTAAATATAGTTTAAAAATCAAGGAAATTTATCTAAGTTTAAATATAGATTTTAATGTTTATAAAGAGGTATCTTTTGAAGAAAAAGTTTAGACATCGACGGAAGAAAATGTGTTTAACATTTGCAAGTTGGAATTATGAATAAAAGAAATTCATACATGGAGCTTAAAGGCTTAGGAAAAACTAGGTCTTGAAACAATTTTATTGAATTGAAAAGCAATGGAAACAAACACCTGATAAGTTTCTTAACAGACATAAAAGCTTTCTCAAACTTAAAAAAACTCAGATGTCACCACAAAACCATTAAAAAGTTGTAGAATAAAACAGCCACACATAGTTCTCAGAAAAAAAATACTTATCTAATTAATCCTCATTATAACCCTAGGAAGGATTTTAAAGAAATTGGGATAAAGTGAGATGCTCAAGGTCAAACAGGTAGAAGAAGCAGAGCCCAGACTGGAACCAGGAATCTGACCTCAGGAGCCCCTATTCTTTTTTTTTCTTTATTTAAGTTTGTTTGTTTGTTTGTTTGTTTAGAGAGCTAGGGGGTAGAGGGGGAGGGGCACAGAGAGGGAGAATTTCAAGCAGGCTCTGCACTGAGCGCGGAACCCAACCCAGGGCTCAATCTCATGATCCTGAAATCATGACCTGAGCCAAAAATCGAGTTGGACACTTAACTAACTGAGCCACCCAGGCGCCCAAGGAGCCCCTGTTCTTAGTGGCACACCACCACCTCCAGTACCATTACATGTAAGAGGTCAACAGTATAGTCAGCAATAAATAAATGAATGAATAAATAAATGACAATCAATTATGAGCTTTTTAAAAAAGATTTTATTTATT